ATCATCCAATCACCATAGATTCAAAAATGATCGAACCTTTGGAACTTCTTCACATTGACCTATGTGGACCTTCGACTGTTTATATGCACAATAAGAAGAAGTACATATTAGTCATTGGTAATGTTTTTTCAAGGTCTACATGGGTTTTCTATCTTTGACAGAATCCTAAAACTGCTCAAGTGATGATAGACTTTATTAATACCATGCAGTTGAGTTTAAAGAAGAAAGTTCGAAGGATTAAGAGTTATAATGGATCAGAATTTAAGAATCAAATTCCAGATTCATTCTTTACTGAGTTGGTAATATCACACAACTTTTCGTCTTCTTACATACCACAACAAAATGGTGTTGTCGAAAGGAGGAATCGTTCTCTGTGTGAAGTTGAACGAACAATGCTTACTTATGCGAAGTTACCTCAATATTTCTGGGCGGAATCTATTTTGACTACTTGTTTCACACAAAATTGTTATTTCATTCATCATCGTTTCAATATTATACCTTATGAAATAATAAAGAAGAGGAAACCTAATGTTAAATTCTTTCATATTTTTTGGTGCAGATGTTTCATCATGAAGGAATCTTATTGGGATATTCATTCATATTTCAGTCGAAAGGTGATGAAGGAATCTTATTGGGATATTCACACAACTCTGTTGCCTATAGGGTGCTGAACAAACAAATGAGGAAGATCAAAGAAACTTTTAATCTTAGATTTGATGAATATTACGTAAAAAGAGTTGAAGAGCCTTTCATTCAAAAGCATATAATGGCTGAAACAAATGTTGAATCTGAAATCATGAATTCTTATGATATTGATCTTGATTTAATTATTGGAATTCCTAATAGGGCCATTGATATTAAAATTTATGATGATGACAATCATGTTCCTGAAGCATCAAAACACTCTGATGATTCAACTATTACAAGGGAAGAATATTACACACATTTTTCATCAACTTCAAGGGTGAATGTCGAAAGAGTATCGGTTTTGACTGATGATAAAGTGCAGGGGAGCACTTGAGTTCAACTTCAATAATTTTTCATCAACTTCAATAATTATTTGAATATTGAGGGGGAGCATATGCGACCTACATCTAAAGTCGAGGTGGAGCACGTGATGAACCATGTTGATGTTGAGGGGGAGCATTACATCTCAAATCCATTGTTCAAGTGGAATCCAACTGGATTGAATCCTGATATTCATAATGATCAAAATAATGATTTTCGTGATGTAACTAACAATATCTCGATTGCAGGAAAAGGTTCAGAAGCGAATGATATTTTTAAAGATGTGCCTTTAGATTTTGATCCTGCATATCCACCAATGGATAAGTGGACAAGAGATCATCCAAAGGAACAGGTTCTTGGTGATCCAAATTCTGGTGTCTTGACTCGACCTCAAAATTCGAGCCAGAATGAATTGTTGAATGTTCATCCAGAATATTGTATGTTTAATGTGTTCATTTCGAAACTAGAACCAAAAACAATAAAGGTTGAAGTGGAACACTTTGTTTGGGTTGTTGCAATGTAATCTAAACTTGCTGAATTCGAACGAAATAAAGTTTGGAGGTTAATTCCTAAACCAAAGGATGTTTCGTTAATTGATCTAAAATGGATTTAAAAAAAAACTGATAAATAACGCAAATTTATTCGAAATAAAGCAAGACTGGTTGTAAAAGGTTATTCTCAAAAACAAGTTACACATTTGCCCCTGTTGCAAGAGTTGAGGCGGTACGAATTTTTCTTGCTTATGTAGCTCATAAGGATTTCGACGTTTATCAAATGGATGCCTAATGTGCTTTTCTCAATGGAGTTATGGAGGAAACATTATATGTCGAAATGTCACTTGGTTTCATTAATGATTAGTATCTTGATCATTGTTATATCTTAGATAAGGCAGTCTATGGGTTGAAACAAGCACCTAGTGCCTGGTATGACGAACCATCACTTGGATTCAACTCTGACCAATTTTCTGAAAATCGCTAAATTTAAACAAGGATCAATTGATACTACATTATTTCGAAATAAAGTAGTGTATCACCCGGTGCTCGTTCCAATTTATGTCGATGGTATTATTTTTGGTTCGACTGATCCTTTGTTATCTAAGCAATTTGAGGAAGTCATAAAAAGTAAATTCGAAATGAGTATGATGGGGAAATTTAATAATTTTTTGGGTTTGTATATTCGTCAAAGCAGGGAAGGCATCTTTATTAATCAAGAAAAATATAGTGCAATATGTTTGAAAGGTTTGGCATGATGAATAAAACTGAAGTTAAATTACCTATAGGTATTGGCACATGCTTGAATCCTTCGTTGGATAAGCCTGATGTGGACTTAATGACCTATAGAAGCATGATCGGTTCACTTTTGTATTTAACTGCAACTCGACCTGATATTATGTTTGATGTATGTCATTGTGCCAGGTACCAATCGAACCTAAGAGAACCTCATCTCAATGCTATTAAAAATATCTTTCTATTCCTCAAAGGAACAGTTTCATTGGGATTATGGTATCATCGAAGACATGTTTCTTTATACAAGCATTCTCTGATGAGGATCTACGTGGATGTCAACTTGATCGAAAAAGTACAACTTGAGGATGTCAATTATTGGATGGAAAGCTTGTGAGCTGGCAATCGAGAAAGAAGACTTGTGTTTCGATTTCGACTGCAGAAGCAGAGTATAAGGTTACTGCTGCATGTACATCATAAGTAATTTGGATTGAAAGCCAGATGCGAGACTATGCAAAGACAATTACGAGACTATGCAATCATTATGAAGAAAATTCTTTGTATTTTGATTCACAAAGTGCCATTCGCATCTGCCACAATCTAGTACAACATTCAAAAACCAAACACATTGCTCTTCGATATCACTTCATAAAGGACCATGTAAAAGACGAGAACATTAAAGTGCATTTTCTCAAAACAACAGATCAACTTGCTGATATTCTCACAAAACCTTAAGATGAAAAGTCATTTTTAAGGATTTTGAGTGGACTGGGAATGATAGAAGCAAGTTCTGTTCCATGTTCTTCTTGATCGGATTGTTGCCGATTCGTTGGTGTTTTTCTGAATCGTTTAGAGGTTACTGTTCCCGTTCAGTGTTTGGCTGCATTCACATTTGAATTCCCTCTGAACCATTCTAAACTCAATTCACTTTTGGTAAAATTTGTTCGATGTGCAACGTATGATTGAGGGTTAGTATCTGATAGGTCGAACGTATCTCGGTAACATTTTAAAGTTCATTTTAGTTTGTTATTTTTCAAAAATCAAAAATCCAAAGTTATTTTCTTATATTTGTATTTGATTTCTAAAAGAAAAAATCCAAAAAAAGTTTGTTATTTTTTTTATTTGCTTTCTAAAAACATAAATCTAAAAAGATTTTTTTATTTTTGTATTTGATTTTTATAAACAAAAATCCGAAAAGATTTTCTTGTTTTTGTAATTCATATTTTTTCTAACGGTTCATGTCTCATTGTAACAACGTGAAGTTGTGATGCATGCTCAACGAACATATCAATCAAGGGGACAAGTATTCATTCGAGCTGATGTACTAGTTAAGTGTCCCTAGAAGAATGTTGTTGCATGTTGTCCTCAAGCCTCATAGACTCTATAATGGAACTCTCACTATGAAAGTTTCTTCTCAATTAGGCTATATTCACATTAGTCGAAGAACTACATTTCATTTGACATATTAAGTAAAGATTTCTACAATGTCCATATATTTCGAAGAGGTACAATGAGTTTTATACTAATCTTTTTCATCAATATTTATTTCATGATCACACACTACACTGCATATCCTCGACATCTCTGGTCGAAGCCAACCAGAATGTAGACATGAGAACACTATGTGTTTATGATGTTTAGTCATTCTTCCATGATGATGGTGAAACCCAATAACCCTAACTATCAATGAATTGACGGTGAACATCTTTGTTCAAGATTTTAACGAATTTTTTTGTTTCAGTACCTTTTCGATATTCAAAATCTCATTCCATTCGCATTGTGTGATCTTGACGAAATGCTCTAAAACCAATACATTATTGCACAACAAGATCCGGTACTAATATTTCTTTTAAATTGATTTTCATCTGAATATCTTTCTGACTTCTTGTCATCTCCAAGCATATCCAACCATACTTGTTCTTGACTACACTGGTTATCCAAGTAACTTTGTTCACTAGGATCACACTTATGTTAAGTTGTGGTGTTGAGAAAATGGTGGTGAGAAAAATTGAACCTGCCTTTTGAAACCAATGAAAAAGAAGCCCTTCGATGCTCATCACTGAGTATTGGATTGTAATTCACGAGATACCACACAAGCAGTTCGTCATCTCCCTTGATGTTGAATGAAGAGATCTTTGCTTGGGATCATTCTACTTTTGTATCAAAAACATTTTGATATCACAATATCCACATTTTTTTTAATTTTCTTTTGTCTCATTCTTTGGCACACAAATACACTAAAATCCTTGAGGGTTTGGGTACTACCTACTCGACACTTAGATTTTGCAAAGTTAGGCATATGATTTCGCTTCGAAATCCCAAAAGCGAATGAGAGTAGTCTCTATGCGAAGGATTTGTGTTATATTGGTGTCGAAAACAAATTATACTTGGTTGAAGTTCAAAAATGTGGCGGTTCTTATCCGATTGGGAGCAACAAAAGATCCGATGGATATAACAGTTCAGGCTTTTCATGGGATTTAAGGAAAACATGATGATTACTTTTATGATGTGGAGCTTTTTACAAAGCCGCTTAAGTAACCAACACAATATGTGGCAGAGTATTATTGGATATCGATTCAAATTCAAAATATCGTCGCTTATAAAATGCAATTGATGATTTCATTCTCAGACATTATGCTCTCAGATCAAATTTCCCAAACCTTCAACTATTCATCGTTTTCAGTCAATTCTGCATTCTTTGCGATGGCTGATCCTCAAACAATTGTTTATCTAACTACAAAAACTAATGAAGAAGAAGGTTCGTAACCTATGATTAAGATTCAGAATACTAATCTTCGATTGGTTCCAACGATTGATCAGTATCCAGAACCAATATGGATGCTTGTTCAAACCATAAACAACTCCGTATTATCAACTGCATTGTATTCTTCATTAACGGTTCCAATGATGTGGATTTCTCTAGCTAGTTCCACTGCTATTTTCAACAAAACAACGCAGGTTGTCACATTTCAATTGAGAAATTCAAAGACGGTGAAGCTTACAAGGAAGAATTTTCCCCAACTCCTGATGTTGCTTGTATCAGGTACATTTATGACGTTTCTACTGATCAAGTACTTCATATGTCCAATGAAATGGTGCATCTCCCAATTCTTACTGGGATAAGTCATTTTAAGATGTCGGGTCTTCTTGCATATGAATTTTTTTGTTCGAAGTCGTTTTAAGGTGCTTAATAGGGCGAAGCTCAAAGTTAGACAAAGCCAGACTAGATGTTTATTTAGTTATTGCAGGGTTGTATTATGGTCTGGATGTGCACAATGACACCAGTCTTTGGGAGAAATTTGGAACAAAAATTACTCATACCAATCTAGATAATGGTGTTTTGAGTGCTAGATATTGGAGCCTGATTTTGCAAAAGGTTTATCAACAAGAAGGGATTTTGGTTCCTTCTGATGTCGAAACTACTAAGTTTCTGACTATGATTGCCCCAAGGATATCCGTTGATGATCCAACCGTTTTTCCTATTGTTGCTCGAATTCCGGATGCAATGCAACACTTCAGTTGACTCTATTGTTTCTATTAGTGTTCTTCCACCAAAAGGGGCTGAAGGTTCTTCTAAAGCTTTTAAAGCTCCAAAGAAGAAGAATAAAATTGAGATACCACCAACTGAGGAGGAGGGTGTTATGAAAAAAAATTATTCATTCTAAATCAAGAATTCTCAAGCGCACAAAGAAAGCAGCGAAGAAACCCAACGATTCCATAGTCAAGCAATCTGTTCCAGAACCAATAATCAAAACTACTGAGCAAATTCATGTTGATTCTTCATGTACACATTCTTCTCAGAAGGGTATCAAGAAGATTCGAAAGCCTCAATTCAAAAGGAAAGGAGTTTTCTTTAGAGAAGTATATGTTCATGTCAGACCTACATCGAGGAAACGTCAAACCCTGGATATGGCTCAAAAGTTGCAACAAAAGGAAAGAAAGTAGCAGGATCCACTTGACCAATTCACAGTCAAAACTGATAATGAAAGTGAGAGAGGAAGATCTGATATTCACATAGAAGATTTTGTGATTGGATCACCTCGAAGGGATTCTCCTCTCAAGTCAAATATCGAGGCGACAGGGGATCCTGATGTCAATGCAAACATATATAATACGGATACAAACCTCAATTCGAATGATCAAACAACAATATCCATCCTTGGGAAGACTAAGGTCATATCACCCAAGGTTTCTCATACCGAGTCCAATACGGTGGAGGTTCGAACTCCAGACATCCGTGTGGACTTATCTGATAAGGACAAAAATGTTAACATGGGTGAAGGGTGCAAAACAACGAATATTTTATTACTTCTATCTTTGAAACTTCTACCATCCAAACTTCAACCATCATCTCATCTACTATCAAAACTTCTACAGTAGCACCCTCCACTACTTTACCACCAATTTCATCACCCTTAACAACTTCAATACCAGTTTCGACCCTTTCACCAACATATTCCACAATCATACATGAACCAGTCACCACTCTAATCTCTTCTCAATCCACTGAGGCTGAGATAATGATTCATGATGAAGAACAAAATGATGATGAAATCAGGGTATCCTTTGCTGATCTTCAATTCGATCCGCATGAGGAAAAGGTTCCTGATGACTTAATTATGTCAGGCAAACAATTCAAAATCCTCAACTCCAAAATAAATTTTCTTATTCAAATACAAGCAGATACTTGGGGTAGGAATTTTGTGACCGGGGTCGAGATGGAGTATTTGTTGAAATCTCTAGAGAATCACTTTTGAAGCTTGGTTGAAAGCATTGTGCAGAAACACGCTGAAAGGTTAGCAGTTCATTCCAAATGCTTTGACTACGAGATTCAGAAGCTTCGTGACGTTGCAAAAGAACACCATGATGTATTTGTTGAACACGTGATGAAAATGAAGGAATCTGTGGATCTCAAAGTTGCTTAACTCAAATCGGAGATGTCAAAAGTGTTGGGTTTTGAGCATTCTAACACTCCTATGGTGTACATGCAACCCTAGAAACCTTGGATATATTTTTTCTCTATTATACATGCAAATATTGATTTTTCCAAGGTTTTATCCTATCTAGAATATCATGAGGTATATGTAATATAAAACTAGTAGAATGGAATACCTTTTTCTTGTTGCTTGATTCCTTAAGACCTTGTGAGCCTAGAACCCCAAGTGTGATGCCTCAAATGTTTCACACAACACCAAAACTCTTGGAATAACTTCAGAATAGAACACTTGTATCACAAATTCGGCTAGCCCTCTCCTTTTAGTCTAAGTTCCTATTTTGCTCCATATGAGGCTCCTTATATAGTGTCATGTAATTAGGGTTACACCATGCAAACCCTAATGTGCATGACCTTTCACTTACTCCATGATCCATGGGTTTTAACCTCCATGGAGCATCCATGGAGCACCCTATGGGTTTTAGCCCAATCTTATGAACCATGGATCATAAGCCCACTATATAAGAATGAATTATTTACACAATTAATCCCCATACATTTAATTAGTCTCTTTTTGATCACAAAATTCATTCCAAATTAATTCTTGATCAATACTAATTAAATAATATGATTTCTATATTAGAACTTATAAATATATTAATAAATCATAAGTGTCCCGTTTCTCATTTAGTCTATCCAATTGTTGTGATGCCATGCAACCCAAATAGACCATGCCAAGTCGGGTCATGTACATACCAAATATAGTTATGGACTTAGACACTATATCCAACAGTCTCGCGGAACTAGGATAATGCGCCATTTAAGATAAGTGATCACACAATCCTCTGTTCTCAAGATATCAGCTGGACAAATACATGGAACACCGTCGTACTTATTGTCTAGCAGTTTATTTCCTGATTTCCGATTTGTTTGACATAGAACTTAATCGAACACATCAATTTAGTTCTGACCGGGCCCGACACATAAGTTAAAACTAAATTATCGAGGGGCCCAAGATATCGCTTCTAATCCTACAAGGACTAGAAGGAACAGATAAGCTTCGACTCATATGCTTGTAGTAACTATTCATCAAATTGTACACAAAAACATGTTTTATAGCATCAAGTTACTGATGCATTTTCGTACTATCAATGTACAACCAACTCACAGTTCAACAACTCATATCTCTTGGCTTAAAGACTCATATGATATTACCGTCTCACGATCACTCGAGATTAATTCCATGAAGTGATACAAATGAGCATGGGTTGAATCCAATACTCAGACCTTATGAGCACTCATGAATGTGCAGCAACCAATCCTTATGTCTAATAGAATCCAGACAAATCTACACACCCAATTCAAGATAGTCTTATTTCAATACCTACTTCTAAAGTATGATCGACTGTGGATACTTTGAATAATAAAATTAATCTGGAAGTCAAAACATGCAAAATGAAACAATAGTAAATGATTGACATAAGACACTACCATACTAGTAAATAAAAACACCTTTTATTTAAAGATCAAATGTCAATTACATTTCAACTATTACAAGTTTTGAAAGCTATCTAACTACTTAAACTAATGTCATCCTTCAGCCCGATGCGTCTCTCATGCTGTATGTGCTTAACCCTACTCAGTCCCTTCGTGAGGGGATCTGCTGGGTTCTCATCTGATGATACCCTCCTTGCCACGATGAGTCCTTCTTCTATACGATGTATACCGAAATCGTATTTTCTGTCGATGTGCCTAATCTGTTGTGATCCCTTGGTTCCTTGGCTAAGGCAACTGAACTCTCGCTATCACAGAAAATCTCCATGGGCTCCTTTATAGCTGGTACAACTCCAAGGTCTCCAATGAAGTTCTTCAGCCATATCGCCTCCTTTGCCACCTCGCTTGCTGCTATGTACTCTGATTCGCAGGTAGAATAAGCTATTGTCTCCTGCTTGGAACTTTTCCAAGTAATTGATCCTCCATTCATGGTAAAGACCCAGCCTGACTGAGAGCGGAAATTATCCCTATTAGTGTGAAAGCTGGTATCACTATACCCCACCACTCTCAAGTCATCACTCCCACCAAGGGTAAGGACCCAGTCCTTAGTCCTCCGCAGGTACTTGAGAATGTTCTTCACCGTAGTCCAGTGAGCCTTGCCAGGGTTCCCTTGATATCTACTGACCATGCTCAAAGCAAAGGCCACATCAGGGCGAGTACAAGTCATAGCATACATGATCGAGCCCATAGCGGAAGCATACGGTACATGACTCATCTCAGCTATCTCAGCTTCTTTACTCGGACTCTAAGTCTTACTCAGTTTAGCGTTACTCTGGATCGGTAATTCTCCTTTCTTTGAATCCTGCATGTTGAACCTTTTCATCACCTTATCCAAGTAGGTACTCTTACTAAGTCCAATTAGTCTCTTACTCCTCTCTCTTAATATCCTTATCCCTAGTATATAGGTAGCTTCTCCAAGGTCCTTCATAGCGAAACATTTCCCAAGCCAGGACTTTACCTCCTGTAAGGTTGGGATGTCATTTCCTATGATTACTATGTCATCCACATACAACACCAAGAAGCTAACTATGCTCCCACTAGCTTTGACATATACACGGGATTCATCTTCGCTTCTCGAAAAGCCAAACTCTTTGACTTTCTCATCGAAACAACGATTCCATCGACGAGATGCTTGTTTCAATCCATAGATGGATTTCTCATGCTTAAACACTCTATTAGGGTATTTGACATCGACAAAGCCCTCTGGCTGATTCATGTAAACATCCTCAGCCAACTTTCCATTAAGGAAAGCGGTTTTGACATCCATTTGCCATATCTCATAGTCATGAAATGCAGCTATGGCTAGCACAACCCTAATAGACTTAATCTTTGCTACTGGTGAAAAGGTCTCATCATAGTAAATTCCCGGAGTTTGAGTAAAGCCCTTCGCAACCAGTCGTGCTTTGTAGGTGTGTACCTTCCCATCCATGTCGGTCTTCTCTTGAAGATCCATTTGCACCCGACTGTCTTACGACCGGGTACATTGTCAACCAAGTTCCAAACTTGATTGTCATACATGGACTGAATCTCGCTGTCCATAGCCTCCTTCCATTTAGCAGACTCGGGGCGTACCATGGCTTCCCTATAATTACTAGTTTCATCCAAATATACCAGTGTACTATCACTGATAAATGTA